TGTATGAAATCCATTGAAAACCACTCTTGGATCGCAATTGTTGCGACAGGAGTTGAAAATCGACTTCGTTTTCTATGACATCCAGAGCAAAGAGTACTTGCAGCCCGAAGAGGCATTATCCTTGGGAGCTTTCCTTGGTTCGTGCTCTATGGGTTTTTATGGGGATAAAAACGTGCTGCCTTCAATCACAACTATCACAATCCATCACTATGAGATTGATCAAGTTGTACGGGACATGTTTTTGGGACATGTTTTTTCTCATTGCTCTGAGCTGGTGAAGTTCCGTCCCTTCAAGCACCGGAAGGACTACACGGATACGCAGATTCATGTGCTGAGTAGCCTGGATGCAGTTGAGCCTCCAATCCCGGTATTGCTATGTTTGACACCGCAGGGAACCCCAAAACCCATTGGTTTCCCAGTAATTAAAACAGACCACCTTCTTGGATGGAAACCTGGGGTTCCCAAAGCCAGCCACAGATAGCTGTTGAGCAGATCTGAATCCTAGGGCCCCTATGTGCCGTTGTCAAACTACATGGATTCCATTCTCATAAGCTTGGGGATGGTCAGCGCTCCATTTTCATAGGAGTTAACATTAACATACTGTAGCCGTTCATTGAGAATCCCATTCGGGTGGGATGACCATGTGCTGCATGACTCTTCATGACAATCCAAAGATGGATGATATAAATTTCATACCGATTATATACCCGTGATGTGGATGGTCATCAATCCATTCATAGGGATTTATATTAACATTATGTTTGGGTCCCCGTTGTGGGATTTATGACCATACATACATAGACAATACTGTTGGTTTTCCAAATGCCATCATATTCCCATTATTGTTGCTTTAAGTCCACATCAATACCCACATATTATATTATATATGTATACATACATATACAATATATATATATATATAAATATTGTACATTATATACATGTATGCATGCATGCATGCATGCATACAAACATACAAACATACAAACATACATACACAAATACACACATACAAACATACACACATACACACATACACACACACACATACATACATACATACATACATACAGACAGACAGACAGACATACATACATACATACATACATACATAATACACACACATACATACATACATACATACATACATACATACATACATACATACATACATACATACATACATACATACATACATACATACATACATACATACATACATACATACATACATACACACACATACATACATACATACATACATACATACATACATACATACATACATACATACATACACACACAATGTATTTATATACATACATATACAATATATATATATATTTACATACATATACAATATATATATATATATATACACATACAGTATATATATATGTATATATATATATAATATATATATACATCAATACATATGCAGTATGTATATACATACATATACAATATATATATACATACATATACAATACATATATATATATACATACATACAGATACATACAGATACATACAGATACATACAGATACATACAGATACATACAGATACATACAGATACATACAGATACATACAGATACATACAGATAAATACAGATACATACAGATACATACAGATACATACAGATACATACAGATACATACAGATACATACAGATACATACAGATACATACAGATACATACAGATACATACAGATACATACAGATACATACATACAGATACATACATACAGATACTTACATACAGATACTTACATACAGATACATACATACAGATACATACATACAGATACATACATACAGATACATACATACACATACACATACACATATACATATACATATACATAAACATATACATATACATATACAGACATTGACCATGGCTCAGTGAATCGTCTCGGACTAAGATCATGCTGCGTCCAGGGATGGTCTGAGCCTCAGCCTGTGGCGCCGCATTTGGCCCAGCATTTTATCGTGGGCCCAGGTCCTGGCGCGACCCTGCTGAATCGGGGTGAGGGAAAGCGGCAAGCAAGCATTTAGCACAGCGGGAAGCCACCGCTCTGGTGCAAAAACGAAGTGAACATGAGTTTGGATCAAATATTTTGGATCAAAAGAGTATTTTGGAGTATTTTGGATCAAATATATCTGGACTGGGAGTATTTTGAGACTTTGGAGCTGCAAATTTTGCTCAGATATCTCGCAGGGCAGAGTCAAGGGCCTTTTTTGGGTGCCATTGACGAAGAAATGGGGATGCAATGGGAATATGGGGATTCAATGGTTCACATGGATTCATATGGGACATACTGGGCATGATCTGGGATTTATACACTGTGGTCTGGTTTGATAACCCACCCTTTTCTGTTGATATTAATGGTTCATTGGCTAGGCCGCTAGGCAGGGCGTAGGCCGATTCAGGTCCTATACGGAGCATGCAAAAGAAGGGGATCGACACAGGTACCCCAAGGATTTGATCCAGGAGACTTACTGAGCAGCCATTAGTGGGCCATCCATGGTGCGTCCCAGCGTACCTGCCATGGCGCGTCGGCGATGGCCAAGGCGCGTGGATGGGACCTGCTCCTGGAGGTCCGATGTCATCCCAATCAATTCCTAGTTCTCTATAGTGAGATGAGGAAGTGTGTGTATATTATGTATATATGTAGATACATACATGTATATACCCATGAACATATTTGATATTGATGGCCTATCACTCTCACCGCTATTGTTTTGAATTATTTTAATGCTCCTAATTATGTTGGTTAAAGTCAAAGCAGCCATGTAGTTGATCTACCAGTGGCATGCACTTGATGTGGGTTTGTCGGCAATTTCAATAGGCGGATTTTCAAATCCACTGTAATCGGGGGTACCCCATTTCCAGACAAAGCAACAACCTGAAACAAGATGTCGTTAAGATAGTTACTCCTATGAAACATCATTCATTGATGATCATAATTTGTCCAGATTGAGGATGATTGATGAAAGTCAAGAACCACCCATCATGATTACTGGTGCTACCCATCAATGGCATCACATTGCGATATTCCAACAATTCCATCCCGTAATACACCCATTTTAAATCCCCTCGTTTCTGGGGGGTGTTTAGTATGGACCGGAGATGGGATTAGTTACTCCTACCCACCAGATTGATGTGCTCTTCAACGCAGCAGTATTTTTGTTCGGAGCGCCCCCTCCTTCCCGGACCGTCGCGTGGGTTCCTTTCTGCCCAACATGGCTCGTGCATTCCTCAGCTTGACCGGATGAAGAAACAATGATGGTTCCCTTTCACTTTTTGATGTTGATCCAGTTGCGAAGTGGGTCCCATCTACACCCACTTAGCAGGTGGATCAATATCCAAGTGAAGGTACCTATATATTTCATATTTAACTGATATATATATATATATACATAGAGGTTATAACTATCCCACTTAGTAACTGGGATGCACCCCGAAGCAGGATTCACCCGTGACTGGTGTAGAAAATGCACAATCGCAATTTTTCAAAAAAGGCGACGACAACTTGGAAATCTCCAACAGCCGGGATGTATCTCGTTTAGCGTCCTGTGCCTTGAGGACGTAGCGGCATTGCTTTGCTTATTGTGGCAGCTCTGTGTGTTGCACCAGCTGGAGACTTAGACACGTTGCAGAGATGTGGCACATGACAGAGAGAGTGTGAGAGAAATGTAGTAGACATGGGTGGACAGATACACAAAACTGACATGGCTTTGCGTCAGAATACTCCAGTTTATGGCCATGTGATGTCACTTTTGAGAGGAATGAGGTTAAACATGTCGTCCGCAACCTTAACGTTCGCCCAGACTCATCATTGTGACATAACAGAGACAATTCTGTGTTGCTGGGAAGTTGCGAATCCAAGCAAGGCCAAGGGGGAAATTAGGCCACGGTGGCATGTGAAAGATACCTTGAATACAGTTATCTTTATGAGGAAACAACATCACCTGATCATCATGAGGGATCAAAATCCGCCACCCCCTATGACCAATATGCTGAACGGGCTAACAACATCAACTTTATCTTCATGAGGGATCAAAATTAGCCATTTGCTCTGAACAATACGTTGATTTAAAGGGGACATCAACTCCGGGCAAACGTCCAGGTTGCAGCGAACATGTCTAAAGAAAAATGTTCACATCACACTATTTTCATAGAAAACCGCAGCACTCTGAGACCTTCGTGGCACCTCGCTCCCAGCCACCAGTGGAGGCGGGTGATGAACGCGCGGGCGAACAGGTGACAGAGACTTGTCCATCTATTTGTCTATCCATCTCATATCCATTTCATATCCATCTTATGTCCATCTTACATCTATCTTACATCTATCTAATATGTAGCAAATATATATCTAATGTCTATTCAAATCTATCTAATATCTATCTAATATCTATCTAATCTCAATCTAATCTCAATCTAATATCCATTTAATATCTACGCAACATCTATCCAATATCTATCTTATATCTATAAATCTAAATGGGTCTAAATCTTTCCAATATCTTTCTATATCATCCTTATATTTCCTTCTATATCTTTGTATATCTTTCGATATCTTTCGATATCTTGCTGTATCATTCCATATCATTGGATATCTTTCTATATACTTATATATCTCTCCATGTATCCATCTATCCATCTATCTATCTATCTATCTGTCTATATGTCTATCCATCGATCGATCTATCTATCAATCTATCTATGTATCTATGTATAAATGTATCTGTCTATCTATCAATCTATACATCTATACATCTATACATCTATATGTATATACATATATACATATATACATATATACATATATACATATATACAGATACATCAAACACATCAAATACATATATACATATATACATATACATATATACATATACATATATACATATATACATATACATATACATATATACATATACACATATATACATATATACATATATACATATATACATATATACATATAGACATATATACATATAGACATATATACATATATACAGACATATATACATAGATGCATATAGACATATATACATATATACATCTATACATATATACATAAATGCAGAATCAATAAATAATTATACATAACACATACAGACATACAGACAGACAGACATCCATACATTCAAGCATAGATATAGACATATATACATATATGTATATATACACATTTACATATATACACATATACCTATATTCATATATACACATATACCTATATTCATATATTCATATATACATATATACATATATACATACATATATTCATATATACATATATTCATATATACATATATACATATATACATATATACATATATACATATATACATATATACATAAATACACATATATATATACATACATATTTACATATGTATATATATATATACATATATATATATGCACATATACACGATATATTATATTTCCGTATTTGTTCATATTGATCGTTGTTCTCACAGGCCTGAAAGCTTGAAAGCTGTTGCCACCTGACACCCATGTTGGCCGAGAGGTAGACACTGCCCGTGTGGCGGCCATTGCAGCCGGTTTGACCCCCTTGGCGTTGGAGCAGCCTGCCTCCGCGTACGACAGTGTAGTGGCCATGCTGCAAAGCCACTTGGAGACAAGATGGCACACAGGCACATGGGAAGCCCAACTGCCTATTGATTACAACTACTCTTATAATGCAAGGTGGTGCCCCAGTTCGTTAGCTAAGTTGGTTAATAACTCCAACAACTAGGGTCTATGTTATATATATATGTAGATATATCTATTTACATGATTTTATACATATATAATTATATAATTTAATGGGGGTGTACTCATTATCCTTGATCCGGTCATGTGAACCTTTTTTCAGTCTGGTTCAGAACTGCAGCAGTTTCCTCGTTCTGTTGCCATGCCTGAGGCTGGCTTGTTGCTCGGCTGCAGCTTTGGAGATCTCCGTCATGTCATGGGTAGCACAGAGTCTTGTTCCAACCGGCACTCACAAAATGTTGAGCACTTCACATCTCCAAATGGTCGATTCCAGGAATTGTTCAAATGGTATGTTGAGAGGAAGGTATAAAGGGGTTTTGACCTACACCGGATTGTGAAGCAAACACGGCCTGAAAGCACAGCCCTCTCTGCACACACAGACACACACACACATACACACAGTGAAATGGATCGACAATATTGAAGATGCAGATGGCAGTTGAAACATACGGGTTTCCCATAGTTTTCCTGAAAATAGGGGACATTATAAGAGGGAACATGTTATTTTCAATCAGCAAGAAACTTGCCCTGGAGGCTGGTGAGGTCGACATATGTAAGCTGACAATGGACAATCACCCATTTACTTCGATGGTTGGCACATATTTCCCAATAAGATCCAATAAGCAGATGTAAGATTATATGTGTATATACATATATACATATATACATACATACATATATACATATATACATATATACATATATACATATATACATATATACATATGTATGTATGTAATGTAATGTAATGTATTGTATTGTATTGTAATGTAATGTGATGTAATGTATGTATGTAATGTAATGTAATGTAATGTAATGTAATGTTATGTAATGTTATGTATGTATATATGTATATATACATATATATGTATGTATGTATGTATGTATGTATGTATGTATGTATGTATGTATGTATGTATGTATGTATGTATGTATGTATGTATATACATGTATACATGTATATATGTATATATGTACATATGTACATACGCATATATGCATATATGTATATACCTTTGTATATGTGTATATATATATATATACGTATGAGGCAGACACTTTCCACAAACAGGCAGCAGTGATCGCAATTTTTAATTTGTTGCACAAAGTCTTTGTGGGTATATCATCATGGGTGCCCAATTCTGGGACGATTGAATCCATTGCCTTTCAATCTTACAACCTGTGGTAGTTTTACATGTCAATGCAAAATCGCAAATGGATTTTGTGGCGAAATGCTAGATCTGATATATTTAGCAACCGATCATTTCGCCAAAAATGTCTCTGGCCAAGCCAGGTCTAGCAGCCTTTTGTTGAATGTTCCGTGTGTGTGACCCATAGCCAATGCTCTTGGTGTGTTTGCAGGGTATTAACGCATAAGTATCCTATCTTGTATACAGTTGGTTTTTATACTTTTGTACATGGTCATATGTAAATACATACATACATGCATGCATACGTACGTACATGCCAGACCATACCAGACATGCCATACCAGACCAGACGGACATACACATTACACATATCAATTTCGCTGCTTACCGAATATCCACTTTATGGATTTTCACCGCGGTATTCGAGCCGCTGAGGTGGGTGGCATTGCATTGGTCCTGATCTATGGCGCCGCATTTGTGGCCGCCTTGGCCAACCCATTGACCAAGCGACGACAGGAGGTGGGCTGGTTGAGCCGAGGTGACCAAACGGGGAAGGGTATATATATAGATATGGATATATATTTGATGTGAACCCCAGTCTACAAAGATTTGTTTGTTCCGTGCACAGGGAGGGTTGCCAGTGTACAAAGTATGGAATCTGATTCACAGATGTCCTATTTACAGCTAGTAGACTATTTACAGATATGCAGGGGTACTCTGGGCATCGAACAGCCAATGGGAAGGTGCTTGATGATGGCATGTAAATGGTGCCAAAAACGTTAGTTGAAAAGGACGTCGTGGCCCTGTAACTTTTGCCCCTCGGATCCCTCTCCAGATCTTTGTTGGACCCATGAAACAAAAAGTAATGGCCACGGCTCAACATTACCCATGCTTAGCAGTATCCCAGAATTGGTTCAAGGGAAGAAGTAAAAAAAAACCCTTGTCATCCCTTATCAAGGCCTCGGAGAAATTGAGCAATTCTTTTTCAGCAGATGTTCCAAACTCTGGCCCCAAAATGATGGGTCCCCTTTCTTTCGACGCGGGCTGTGTGGCCAGGTGAAGGCTGAAGTGGATGCCATCAAGAAAGCATAGATAGGCAGCGCCTGGTGACGCCCCGTCACTTTTTCACAGAAAAGTGGTGAGATGGCCGTGATGGCGCTGCTGGGAGAGAGGTAGAGATGGTCATTGTAGCAGAGCTTCAGAAGTTGTTTTGGGCAACTGCGGCGTTTGAGTGTTCTACCTTTGCTGTTTCTAAGGCTTATAAGGCATGTTGTGAGCAACCTGTAATTACTGTAATGTTATGACTTTCAACATCACCTGCTTTTCAGTGTGTGTTAAACTTTACACTGAGACCTGCAAGATCTGGGAGGACCATCAACTCGTTGTGTGCCAGGTTCAAATTGTACATGTGGCTGCCTTGTGAACCACCCCCGGGCCCGAGGCAAACGAGCAATTGAAACTGAGGAAATGTACACTTCCGTGAGCCATTGTCGATAACCTCGTTCAAGACGTCCCAAGGAAAAACAGTTGCAATTAGCAACTGGATAGTATGTATAGATATAATGAATAAATAATAATATAAGAATAATAATAGTAATAATAACAATAACAATAGTAATAGCAATAATATAATGATGCTAATAATACTAATACTACTCATACTAATACTGTACAAGCATTGTGCAAACAACGCTACATTCTACAGCAAAAAATGCCAAGAGAGACAAAATCCAACATCATACAGCTCAACGGGGAGAGAGCGATGCCAACAACAGAACATATGCTTTTGTTTTCCTTTGGGGGGAAGGTGCTGCGCCCCCTGCCCAATGGTTTCCCTCATGCTCAATTTGTTTCTCTTACCATCTCTTACCTGAGAAAGTCCACATTCTGAGCAACTTCTAGGTGGAATGAGTCCATTGGGCCATTGGGGGAGGATGAGTGCAAGGTTTTATTTCAGCATGAATGTTTTTTTCTTCAAATTACCTAAATATTCAAATGAAATCTGGATACCCATCCCCCAAGCATTTTTGCTCCAGTCCCGTCCCCAGCCCGGTGCACTGACGCTGCAACGATGGCCCGTCGCTCGGCTGAACATCTTTGCTACATCCCACCGAGTCATGGCCATTTTACTAGAGAAAATGAGAAAAACCTGTGGATTTTGGGTGAAAACCCCAAGATTGACAAAGCACAGTTGTGGAACAAAATCTGAACAATAGTAACAATAGCTGCGAAGAACTGGTCCTGGCGTTTTTTTTTTGAGGACGAAGCGGTGTTGCTCTCCTCATTTTGGCAGCTCTGTGTGTTGCACCGGTGGCTCAGGCATAGAAGGCAGTGTTGATGTTGGCTTGTTGGGATTTGGCTTCACGTGACCACACAGGTATGTGTTTTGTACGGATGTGCATTCTACATGGCTATATTTTAGAGATATTATATGTAAGTATGTTTCTTCTAGGCATCATGCACACTCTATCTGAATTGTTGACACCAATGGTAGCAGCGACACTCCTCAATATCTTCCTCTTCAATGCACGGCTTGAGTACATGGGATTTATCACAAATTATGACACGTTACATAGGAGTGCCATTAATTGATTTCCATCCCTTTGGGTTTATATTGCACGCGGGCAGATCGATGGTTAGATAGATCGATCATGATCGATCAATAGATTGACAGATCGACAGATAGATAGGATATATTTCAATGGATTGGTTTGAAGCAAAACAAATTCGAACAATATGTTTTTTACTCCCAAATATAGGGTTTCCCCATAGATTTTCTCATCCAACTCTGAGATAAAAAACGGGAAGAGGCAGCACTACAAAGGGAGCCCGGCTAAGACCTTCGTGGCACCGAGCGGCTCCCAGCCACCAGTGGACACTGCCCGTGTGGCGGCCATCGCAGCCGGGTTGACCCCCCTGGCGTTGGAGCAGCCGGCCTCCGCCTATGACAGCGTGGTGGCCATGCTGCAGAGCCACTTGGAGGTAAGAAATGTCAGAGACCTGTGCGAGTACGGGAACCTTCATGGTCATAATCATAGTGATAACCTGTGATAACCTCAATAAGGTTGTATCCACTTGCATTGGAAGCAGAACCTGAACACTCCTCAGATGGTCGAGTTTACAGACCATGAATTATCTGGAAAGTATCTATGTGTACATATTCCTTGACATATATCTCAGATAGCTATATTATAGACAGGTATAGATTTATCGGAGTAATAAACCACTGGGCTGCCTAATTGGGGGGACAGTGAAGTGCCAATTATCACTTATTTGGGGAACACTCCCTCATTGGTCAACCAGGTTTGTTAGAAAGGGGTTGATATTATTGATGTATCAAAGATAATATCCCTATCATATATAGAACACTAAAATCTTTCAGTAACATCTTTCAAAACTAAGCTAGTGATGAATGACTTTTCTATCTGTTTTGAGGTTTACTAGATCATAAACCAATCATTGAAAAAGATAACCTTGGCACGTCAGGGGGAACCACAACCGACCATCTAAGGTTGGCTGGTTGCTCGGCAGCATGGATTAGATGAGAGTGCGGGATGATCCTGGATCTTCTCTATAGTTTCATATACTGTAAAAACTCCTGCAGTAAAACCATGTATTGTATATATCATCGATCTGCCCGATAGCGTTGGTTCAAAAGAGCTGAGTGCTTAACGGTGTTAGCTTAGTATTTCACCCCATTGTCGGTTGACCTGGTAAAATACAGGTTATCAGCCGTAGTCTCACTACTTTGCTATGGGGACCCCAATTGACCATCCTCTCGCCGTTCCAGGGTCAGGTCCATCGGCTGTCGCTGTGCCTAATATGGCCGGGGGCAACCCCGAGCCGATGGATGACGAAACAATGTTCCAACCCGTTGTTGCGTACTTTACCTTCATACAAAACAACCTGTCCCAGATTACTAGTGGGAATACCCTGCAAGTCATGAGGGAAGCTGAACAGAGGCACCTTCAGATAATGCATGGAGTAGTTGACTCAATTCGAAACGAATGGTCAAGTAGACTCGTAATGCAGGAGCAGGAGTATGAGCAAAGGCTGCAGGAGGTTGAAGGTAATGCCATTAGTGCCCTCAACGAGGAGAGGAAACGAGGCGACGAGATGGAGGTCAGGTTGAATCAGGCTCAGGCATCGCATGACAAAAGAATAGAGGATGTAAAGGCAGAGGCAAACACAAAGCATGATCAGAAAATTGCAGAGGAAAGGAAACGTATCACTAGTGAATTCGAAGCTTCCTATGCACAGACAGTTGAACATGCAAAGAATGCCATAGCTGCCACAAAGAAGCAATATGAAGATCAGGCTGCAATTGATCAGGCCAGGTTCATCAGTTTGAGGACTGAGTTTGAGAACTACAAGAAGGAGATGGCCGACAAGATCAACGAGGCAGCGGCTCAGAACCTTAGCCTTCAGGACCAAATCGATGATCTTCAGGAGCAGTTAAAGCATGTTGCCAAAGCGCAGCATGCCTCCGTTCCGAAAGCATCCGTCCAGAACGCCGAGCCGGCCGCTACCACTAGCGTGCCCCACTTCAATATTGCCACTCCCAAAGCATCCGATGCACAGGCTGCCAGAGGCAGTGATGAGCCGATTCTTGAGTTTAAGACGCCTGCAGCGTTGGCGCAGGAAGCAAAGGCCAAGTTGGATGAACTGCTCAAAGGTGGCAGTCCCAAGCAAAAGCCGGCTGTCGGCAACGACCAGCCCCAATTGCCAACGCAGTCAGGGTTTTTCACTCCCACTGAAGCTATCAAAACTCCCCCAAATGAATCTCCTAAGAGCGCAACCAAGCAACAGCAAGTTATGGGTCCCTCAGATCTTATTGAATTGGTGAAAGCCTTAACCCAAAGGGAAGAAAAGGATAAGCCAAAAACTAAGGAGGCTGAACTCATCAAGCTGAACAACATGCCCGCTCCGGAGTCATATAGAACTTGGAAGAATCACGTCAGGGATGAAGTGAAGAGCTGTTCAGATCGCCCGGATGAGGCGTGGCTCTGGCTCAACGAGGTGTACGATCAAGAGTGCACCAGAGAGCAGTTGGAGAAGAAACTCCAAGATCCTGGAAAGTTCCTTACGCTGGATACAAAGTTATCAGCAGCGCTCACGCGCTCAGCCGGAGGGGACCTCGCAACTAGGATCTTGAATTTCAAGGAGCAGCAATCCCGAAAAGGCATCCAGGTCAGGGGAAGATATGTTCTGCTTATGTTTGAGGACTACTTCAAGACATCAGAAGAAGCAGGTAGCCTTTACAGAGTAGAAGATCTTTTGGGTGTTGTCAAAGTAGGCGATACTGTCCAGGATCTCCGAAGATTCATCAACAAATGGGATGCTACCCTAGCTGGCATGGCTGTCACCCCTGATGATGCTGTGTTAAGGGACATCTTGTTGAGGCAGATCCGACCAAGTCAGTTGCTGAAATATGACATCGAGGTGTTTGACCGTGCTCATGAGAAATCCCATGAAAAGTCTTACAGTTTTCTTCACCAATCCATGAAGAACTTGATCGATCGTGAACGATTGAGGGAGAACAGGAACCGCATTGCGGAGAAGAACAAGGCTGGGATTAAGGACACAAAGGCCGCACCCGCCAAAGGCGATGGTCGCGGCGGCCGAAAGGGCTCTCCAAGTCGCGGTAGATCGCAGGAACGAGGTGGCAAAGGTGACAAGATTTGCTATAAGTTCCAAAAGGGTACCTGTGATAAGGGGAAGAAGTGTCCATTCAAGCATGTCAAAGATGATAAATCTCGAACTCAATCACCCAGAAGAACCAAAACACGTTCACCATCAAGGGGCAATAAGGATGATAAGGGGAAGAAGATGTCTAAAGAAGAAATGGCTAAAACCCCATGCATCTATCATGCCCAGGGAAAGTGCAGACGTGGTGACAAATGTTTTTATAAACATGATGACAAAGCCGCTGCCGCCACCAAAGACACCAAAAGGGCCAATTCACCCGCTCCCAAGAAGAAGGGCAAGGATTCCACAGCCGCTCCATGTCTGATCCACAAGTTTGCATGCATCGTCCGAAAACAGCCGAAGGCAACTTCGTGCTCTGATGAGGCAAGTGTCAGCATGAAGCGTCTTAGATTCCGAAAGGCCCCACATGTGATCGAGGTGAAGGCAGTCGGTCGTCAAGTCCCAGTCAAGCACCGTCCAAGAGAGTTCACTAAGGTGTACAAGACAGCTGAAGATGTTCCAGTTTCATCGAAGGTTGAACAGCATGAAGCTCAGGTTCGTGCAAGACAGCTCCAAGAAACTGTGAAACTTCATGATTCAGATGTTGCACCAAGTTGTGGGTTTTGTTGTTGGGATGAGGACACACGTGACATCACATGCAAAGAGTGCAGGTTCATCAGCGGTCCCAAAGCCCTTAGAGACATTGGTCGTTTCCCGTCAATTGCCACAGCTGCGCCAAAGGCCGGTGTTAGTTGGCTTGTTGACTCAGGTAGTGAATCCGATCTTGTGTCCAAAGGAATGCTGAGGGATGTAAGTGCCAAGAACTGCCGTGCAGCCGAGCATCCGATTTCCTTAGTCACAGCCAACGGTTCGACTGAGGCAAACGAAGTTGCTGATGTCAAGTTGTCCGCATTGCCAGATCCCGTGCATCCGTATGTGCTTGATCATACCCCAGCTGTGCTCTCTGTAGGAACGAGATGTGTAGATCAGGGTTACAGTTTCGTATGGCCTGCCAATGGCAAACCAATCCTAGTCCGTCCAGATGACAAGGTCGTCCAGCTCAAGATCGAAGGTCATGTCCCAATCTTGGATGATAGTTGCAAGGTTTATCCCAAAGATCAATTTCAAAAGGATAAGCACCTCAAAAAGTTGTTTGCAATGCCGACCTCACGGTCGAGCTCAAAAGCCAAGCGGGACGAAGCCCAAGATGAAGAGCAGTTGGATGAGCTGGTGGAGGATGACGCTCAGCAGGAGTACATCCGAAGCCGCAAGACTGAGGATCTGTTGGCTGAAGCTGCAAGTACCCAACATCAGTACACGCATTTCCCCAAGAACCCCTTTTGCAGAACTTGCCAACGAGCAAGGATGATGGCACCTCAGGCACGAAAGAAGGGTGGTCAGAAGCGAATCGAAACTGAAGTGTTTGGTGACCACATCATTGGGGATCATGTCATCATCAAGAAAAATGTAGAAGAGGGTTTCGGGGGGGAGCAAGTTGCGTTGGTGTTGAAAGATCTGCACACCCAATATCGGTATGTCTACCCTAGCCAGTCCAAGGACTCACAAAGCTGTGTTGATGGTTTGAATCACTTCATTGGATCAAAGGATGATGTTCAAGTTGTGTACACTGACAATTCCCCAGAATTGATCAGGGCCATTAAGGATTTGGGTTACAGACACCAAACTTCCATTGAATACGTAGATTCATCAAAGTCTTTTGCTGAGCGCGAAGTTCGTCAGATGTTGGAAGGTGCCCGGAGCAACTTGTTGCAATCAGGACTTCCTTTGAAGATGTGGCCATTGGCCATGCAGCATCATGCGACCGCGATCAATGCAAGCCCCCAGCTTGACGGCAGTGATTCCCCATGGCAACTCAGGTTTGGTGAAGAGTTCCCTGCAATGCACATTCCATTTGGTGCCAAAGTGTTGTTCTGGAATAACCCCAAGAGGTCGGATAACACATCAGGTAAGCTCTTCCCAACAGCAAATGAAGGAATTTTCCTTGGGTATTACATCCAACCAGGTCATGATTGGAAGGGTGAATACTTAGTTGCCAAGTTGGAAGCCGCAGATTATCATGTAAACTGGGGTGCACTGACAATCCAAAGAACAAAGAGGTTGGAATTGCCATCCGAGGGTTTCATCTTTCCTTTGAAAGCTCTGATCGACTCAAAAGCACCCAAAGCCGATCGCCTCGAGGACCAGGTCATTCCGCAGACACCCAAAGCTGTGCCTCTTGAGTCCAGTTTGCATCCACCGCAAGATGAGTATGAATACGAGCCAGGTACGCCTCTACCAGCCGACAGCGATGTCGAGCCTGATGCACCCGAAGCGCCCGTATTTCCAGATCTCAAACTGACCCC